GGGGGGGGGACTGGAGCCAATGGGGAGAGGCGGGGTCAACCTGGATGGCAGCATCACAAACATCATTGATTAATTCACTCAATGCTTCAGACACCAAAGCCAGAGTCTCGTTATAACCACGCTGTACGTTAACATTTATTGTCCACCAGGGGGCAGAACAGAGCAAATGAAGCACCATGAAGCTTCAACACACGAGTGAACCAATTGGATGGAACGCTTCAAAGCTTTATGAAGCTTCATTTCGCCATCACTAGTGTGAAGTGACCAGAGGGAGAAATGGAGGCGACACGATGTTTAAGTTCTGCTAATGTTTCCGTCTCTGTTCCCGTGTGTGTCTCTGTTGTGGTGTGCAGCGTGGGGGAGGAGGAGCGGGCCAGTTCCAACGGAGTGGACCCGGCCGAGCCCCGGGAGGCCGGCCCCAGCCCCGAGCCGCTCAACGGACGGCTGGACGCCGCCTGCTGAGGGGTGGGGGGGGGTCAGGAGCCGGGGCGGTGGGAACGCGTTTGCCTTTCATACTTATCGGGTCCACACCCCAACGGAAATGTCTTTATGCTTCTCAGATTTCTATCCACCGGCTAAAGAGAAAAACCCAAATCAGCCCCAGTCAAACCAGTAGAGACTCAGAGTCCAGAGACAGTAAAAACCACTTTAAACGTACCGCCTCCACTTCTCAGACAAGTCACGTGCCTCAACTGGAACTTTATGGCAATAAATTCGACATTTAGCGGAGGGATGCTAATTCGTTTCCTCGTTTAAGAAAGCGGAGCTGGAAGTCTGGGAGGAAACGTCAGGAATAGTGGGTCCGAGTCGCCCAGGTAACGCTGGAGGACCCAGAACCAGGTCCCACCCAGTTAATGGTCACGGTAACATCCAGAAAATGTAAAGAAAAACAGAATAACAGGACGTGAGAGGAAACTTTACTGAGTCACAAAAGAAAGAAAAGGCCTGGACTTCACACTCGGCTTAAAGTTTATAAAAGTTGAGTCTCCTTCATTAAATTAAAGATGCCTCTTTAGTCCCAGTGGAGGTTTTCAGAGTCCAGCTTCTGCCTCTTTAGTCCCAGTGGAGGTTTTCAGAG